AGGTTCCTCAACAAGAGTTTGGTCTCATTTGATCTCTGTTGTGCTTTCAACATCACAATCAAAGATTACTGAAAAATTTCAAGAGATAGTAGTATTTTCAATCAGTTTGACACGACTGTCAACAAGGAAGAGGGCCGGCAATGGAGGAGGGGGCGTACCAAAGAGACCATCTTATCACCAGCAGAACTGGTTTGTTCCACTTTGGAGTAAGCTGTTGGGGGAAGAATAACATTTGTTGTGTGTTTCCTTGACTGATGAAGCCTTCCGGATCGAAGGCGAAACGTTTCAGCACAAAAAAAAAAGAAACTGTCCAGATGACCTGACTGAAAAATGTTGGAGAAGTATTTTATGTTTCACATGTCATCTTGAGGGCCAGATAAGATGTAAGCGAGGGCCACATTTGGCCCCCGGACCTTGAGTTTGACACACATGATATACAATAAATCAAATTTAATGACTTCTATTGACAGCACAATAAAACATCAAACGTAATTAATACTCCGAGTAGTTTTTGAGAAGAGTACTTTAGACTTTTACTTAAGTATTTTTATAGCACCAGTACTTTTACTTGTAATTGAGTACAATTTAAGCAGTGTAACAGTACTTGTACTTGATTACAAATTTTCAGTACTCTTTCCACCTCTGCTGAACACTGAGGTTTCATGGGTTCTTTTGACCCAAAGGTAGCAGTGGGCTTAAAAATAGTTGTTTTTCTGTTCACTTAATGGTAAATGGACTGAACTTCTATAGCACCTTTCTATCTTACCAAGACACTCAAAGCTCTTTACTTTACAATCTGTGTCCTCATTTACCCATTCATACAGCACTCTACTACATTTATACAAAGAATAATCAGAGCTTTATCACATTCATACACCGATGGGACACACATCAGAGGCAATGAGGGGTTCAGTGTCTTGCTCAGGGACACTTCAGCATGTGACTGCTGGTGGAATTGAACCCCCAACTCTTGCATTGGAGGACGACTGCTCTAACCACTCAGCCACAGCTGCCACAAATAATATTATATATTAAATAAATATTAATAACATTGAAGGCGGCAGCATGGTGGCGCAACTGGTAGAGCTGCTGCCTCTCAGAGCAGGTCCTTGGTTCAAACCCCGGTCCAGGGGCCCTTCTGGGTGGAGTTTGCATGTTCTCTCCGTGCATGCGTGGGTTTTCTCCGGGTACTCCGGTTTCCTCCCACAGACCAAAAACGTGCATGTTAGGCTGATTGGTAACTCTAAATTGTCCCTAGGTGTGAGTGAGAGAGTGAATGGTTGTTTGTCTCGTTTGTCTCTATGTGGCCCTGTGATGGACTTGCGACCCGTCCAGGGTGTACCCCGCCCCTCGCACAGTGATTGCTGGACATGGGCACCAGCGACCCCCGTGACCCAAAATGGAATAAACGGGTAAAGAAAATGGATGGATGGATGAATATTGAAGGCTGTATGAAGATTATCCAAGGGTCACTTTTGGCCCTCAGGCCATAACTTGCCAACGTCTGACATGTCATTAACGTATATAATGTCAGATTTGTATTTATTTTTTAATAAAGACCTAAACAAACACTCAACTGAAGAAAAAAAATCAAGCAAGAAAATATATGCCGTGTGCTGCAGCTTCAGAGACCTCAGCAGCCTCATTTGACTGTGATCACGTGTGCTGAAAGTCGCTGCGACTCTTTTTTGTGACACGTGAGCACATGCTGGGAGGTGTGGAGGAGTGGTACATGACCAGTCCACACAAAAATGATCAACAAACACATTCACATGTTCAATTCACAGCATTGTAGAAAAACATTTTCTGTTCAGCCACCGCCCATAAAATGTAATCTCACTGCACGCCTTTATGACGGCAGCATGAGCATTGTGGGTGGAAGGAGTCACGATGTAAAGACGTTATTAACCAAAAGGCTGCAGATGTAAGTGGTCCATAAACAGAACTCCACAGTTCTGAAAAACCAAACTAAAACCATGTAAATGAATAAAGAATAAAAAAAAACTAAACAAAAAAACTACACAAAATTAGGGAGTGTATAAACTGAAAGAGTAGATAACTAAATCCAAGGCAGCTGTAGTGATTAGATGTTAGCAGAAAATAAAAGCAACAGAAACAAACTAAAAATTATCTCCAAAACAGGACAAATGTTATCAGAAAATCTCATCTGTATGAAAATAAATATTATCATCTCTGACACAAAAAACAGACTAAGGCAATATTGGACTTACCTGTATCAGGATCTGTGTTAGATTTCTTTATAAATGTTTATGGTTGGTTTTATTAGCTGCGACTCGTGACGATGGTGAAACGGTGCAGGAAGCATCATAAGAGAGAAACAAAGCCGACTGTAAAATACTGAGGAGACACGATTGATGGCACGGGGAACACTAGGAAAAAACTGGAACTGTGGAAAACAAAGAAACCAATAATGGAAAATGAGCCTAAAATTTAAGACAAAACTTATAAAAAAATAACTAAAGGATTCAGATTTAGAACAATTTCCTACACTGCAATACGCCGTATAATTTATACTGTCGTTTTGATGCTTATAATTAAGTTTCATTTTGAATTGCAGGCTTGACATTTTGTTAAATTGGAGAAAACATGACAAAAGTATCTAAAAATCACCCACCTCTAGAGGTGAAGTGGCAATTAAGTTGTGATGCTAGTCTTCATGCTTGATTGTTTGTTAGCAAAATATTTCCTGAGATTTTAATAAACCTCAGGAAGTATCCAACAATTTTCAGTCGGGTCATCTGGATTATTGAGCATGGACTTTGTTGGTTTTTAACCAGTTTGACATGACTGTCGACGAGGGAGAGGGCCCGCACCAGAGGAGGGGATGTGACAAAGACACCATCTTGGCACCAACATAACTGGTTTGTTCCACTTTGGAGTAAGCTGTTTGGGGGAAGAATCAATTTTGTGTTGTGTGTTTCCTTGACTGATGAAGCCTTCTGGATGGAAGGCGAAACATTTCAGCACAAAAAAAGAAACTGTCCAGATGACCTGACTGAAAAATGTTGGATTGTATACCTGGATTATTGAGCATGGACTTTGTTGCTCTCAGAAAGTAACTAACAGATGCACATCTACTATGACTGATAACTTTTGGAGTCAATCCAATCCAAGATGGCCACCTAAGCAACCTTATCAAAATCTCTAACTGTTGAACTCAACTGTGCCTGTTAGCAAAATATGTTGTGAGCCACTGGACAGAATTTAGTGAAACTCATAAAAAGTAATCGTACATCTACAACTCGCTCAGTTCAAGATGGCCACCACAGCTAGTCTACGGTAACCAAAACAAAAAAGGCTATAACTCAGTTTAACAGGTACTGAGTTAATGTTGGTGTAGCTGAGTCATCATCAACAGGTTAACTGAGTGCTAACACATCTCAATAGATCGATTAGTTTTAAAAACAGCTGCAGCTCCATCAATTCTCAGAATAAGATTTGTTGTGTCGTGTTTGAGACGTGTCACCGCTGACAACCCGGAAACGTGGTCCGGTGTTGTGCCAAAAATCGATTTGGCTGCCAAACAGGAGCCGCAGGAGTGTGCACAGGAGGACTTTAACAAGAATTTACGAAGAGTAACATTTAAAAAGAATTATTTATTTGCTCGAAATTATAGCAAAGCTGTGTCTCAGTTTAACGTTTCCTCGATAAATGCACTTTGACGGTCAAATCAGTTGCATTTCAAAAGCAAATTTGTGGCCGTAGGAGCGTGCATGGGAGGACTTCAACAATAATTTAACAAGATTAACACTTAAAAACAATTATTTCTTTGCTTGACATTATAGTAAAGGTGTGTCTCAGTTTAACTTTTCCTTAATAAATGCACTTTAATGGTCAAATCAGCTGCATTTTGCCTGGGCGGCGCAGAGAAATGCAGCTGATTTGACATTTGTTCCAGGAGTTCCAGAGCGAGACAACGGTGGCTGGTATGGCAAGCCAAGTGTCTCATTAATAGTCACTTTTACCTATTAACGAGACACTTAGCTTGCCATGATACTTGAGCACCCTCTTGCAGCTGAAAATGGTAGTGTTCAATATTTTCCATGTCAGAATGAATGAAATCGTCAGATCTCAGCCAAAAATTGGGTTATAAATATGGGCAAAATAAAAACATAAATAAGTTGCTTCGCTGTATAAGGCGCACGGCATGTAAATTTATACAAAAAAATGTGACTTATACAACAAAAAGTACGGTAAGCATTCTTTGAGCTCACTGAAATGGCAAAATTCTTGAATTATTCCCAGATTACAAAAACTGCATATGCACAAAGTAATTTTTTTAAAAAGGGCAAAACCACACACAACAAACTGTTACATTAATAATATATCTTTTGTTTTATTCTCACGAAAATAACTTGTATAACGTGTGTTACCGGAATGTCCATTTTTACAAGTCTGCAATTGAAATAGCCTTTTTTTAAATGAATAAAACGTTTCCTGTAAAACACCACATTGTTAGAAGTTCTCTATAGAAGATGTTTTCATTTCATGACAAAACTACAATGGTATATAAAATACACTTTTTCACTTAACAGCGGGAGCTGATTTGCATTTAGTTCTAGCATATTTCGCCACAAAAGCATTGATTTGAACAGAAATAGTAGCACTCACTTGGACTGCAATAAACCGTGTGATAAAGAAAACTTTGCAAATGGACCCTGAAAAGTTAGAATACATGGTTAACTTCCATTTTACCCCATCAAAAGTGCGTTTTTAGCATTTAGCAATAATTCAGAGCAAGCTGTCTTTTACAGAAAAGAATATATGCTGAATGTCTCCATGTACACCACGTTAAGACATGTTTGACCCTCCAAAGTGCTTATTGATGTCTGAGCAGACTAGAAAACAAAACTTACAGTACGTTTGCCACTTCTTTACTGTGGTATTTATAGAAGTGCATTAAATTTAAAATAAATGGTAGTTTTACACATTCTTAATATTTAAAAATCATACAAATAAAACAAATAATTTACCTTGTTGTCCCTTGTCACGTACTCTAACATTAAATAAAACATGGCAGCGCTCTTTGTGTAGGCATGCTTCTTATAGTTTCTTCCACATCTTTAAATTCAAGACTATCAGCATTAATTTGTTCCCTTGAAGCCACAAAACAAAACAAAAATGGAAAAGGAATTTCAACCGTTCGCTCCCCAGCAGCAGCCTGGCTTAACACTTTTTTGTAGCAACTCCTGAATGTTAGAACAAAAACACCGTCCACACAACAGTCTTGTTGGTGCAGCTGAGAATAAAGTGCAGCGCTCCTTTGGCCCCGACATGGAATCAGATAAAAGGTGGTGGTTGGACTCATTCAAAGACCCCTGCCTCTGATCTCATTCCAGTTTGATAAAACGCCTCGCGGCCCAGAACCTGGGACAGCAGTCTCTGTCCATGGGGAGACATGCAGCTCTGCCCAGGTAAATATCCAGACACAGCTTTACTGGATCTTGTGGATTTAGGTCTGGGTGCAACGTAATACCCTTCCATGTGGTCATATTGTGTGGGCTTGACTTTAGTGCTTTGAGTCCGTCTGGTGAGCCGTGACGAAAACGATTCTAGATGTTCGGGATCCAGAGGAGATTTGGCGTGATTATAGTAGTGGCGATGTTCTCTGGTGCTCTGTGATCGGCCCGGTCTCCTGAGGGCACTGGGTTTCCAGACACCAGAGTAGCTGTTGGCAGCATTGGTCACCATTGCTCGATCTTGGTCGTGACCTCGTGGACGGTAGCTGTTATTGTGCTCAAAGGTCTTGGTGCAGCCTCTCTCTGGAAGTGAGGGAACTTTGCGAAGCTGCTGAGAGGAGCCCTCTTTGATTGGGATACGTCTCAGCTCTGCACCAGAGACGTGACCACATCGCTGCCTGGTTACTTCAGTTTCTACTTGTCGGGCCCTTGGGGAGGTTTTTGATGTAACTATGGCAGTTTGACCCTCTGTCCTGTCAGTGGAGAGGAGGTTGGCGTTCCCAGGGTCTGACTTGCTCCTTATGTGTATTATGTCTCTGCTTCTAGTGTCACTTGGTGAGACCGGACTCTCACAAGGAGACAAAGAAGGGTATGGGTTTTTAAGTCTGGATTGACTCTCTTGTTTGATTGGTTGATAAATTACTCTTTCAAAGACCTCTGCATCTGTGGCCTCATAAACAACCGTGCCTCTACTCTCTATGTAAAGCTCTCTGTTCCCAGGAGGGACACGATGAGGAGAATAGTTGTAGTAATCTGACTGTCCACTTTCCCTTGTGGAATGCACAGAGTAGGATTGATGGTGATGGATACCACTTTGCAGGCGAGGATCTATGAAATAACGAGAGCCATCAACTGGCTTTATATCAGAATAGGGTCTGTACTGGTACTTGGCATGAGTGTTTTCAAACTGCGGACGTACAGAATTGAGGTTAGTCTGAATCAGCCTTCGATAGGGCTCCTCCTGGCTTGTCCTTGGTTCAACATAAAACATGGCTTCAGTTGGAAGGACTTGTGTGTTGGCCAACTCATAGCGACTTATCTGAGGAGCATGGAAAGAGCGAGCCCTTCGGATTGCCGAATGCCCAACCACACTGTCCTCAGACCTCTGCCACTCCCCTTGTTGCCTGTGGAATCCACCAATAAGGTGCTGGTTTTTATGAAAACGTCTGCATTGAGGTGATAAAGATTGCCTTAAACCTAGGGAGCTGCATCGGCCTTCAGAAGACTGCCTGTACAAGCCTTTAGGTCCAGAGAGTTGAGGTGGCAGAGCGCTGGGCCGAGGGCATTGAGGTGCAGGCGTTCTTCCTACATGAATCGGTCGATTATGATGCCGATGATGGTGATAATTGTAGACATTCTCATCCACACTGAGTGGTCTGTCTTCTTCTGGCCTGTAGTGATGGACTGAAGAGGTGTGTAATTGACGTGGAAAAACCTCCCCAACAGAAGCAGGCATCAGAGACTCTGATAAGACAGAGCGGAAATTATAAACATCTACAGAGTCTGTGTTGGCATATATGGGAGAGGTTGAAGGGCTTTTAGCCAAGCTGGCAGGCTGAGAAGGAGTTGAAACTCCAACACTCTGATATGTGTGCTTTTCTTGGTTGGTGTCTCTCGGATCGTTTTCCTCTTGCGGGTCCCTCTCTTCTGCACTGCCTTCATCCAAGCTTCCTGACCCAAGCGGGCTGACATTAGGAGTGAAGTTGCACACACTTTCCTGACCATCATTGACCTCTGGGCAGAGGTGCGAAGATAAGAAGTGAACAGGACGAGAACAGCAATGGGCCTCTGCAGAGCTTTGTGCTGAAGGGCCACAGTACTCCTGAGGGTGCATCTGAAGATCCAGAGCAGAGGGTCTTGGCAGTCTGTTGTAGGTGTGCGGTGCTTCCTGTCTCTGGAAAATGTGCAGCGGGGTGTTGCTCCTTCTTTGGGAGGCACTGCTGGCCTTCTGGGCAGTTTCAGCCAACACCAAAGCCAACTTGCGTGCGGCGCTCATCGAGGAAGGATGAGGAGGGAGAACAGACACTGAACTCATAAGTCTATCTGTTCCTGGGGAGGGATAAGACAAACAACGCTACAGTATGACAAGACAAACAAAGCTATGGTAAGACATGATGGGACAAAACACAGAAGCTTTTGTAAGACACTACAAAGTGCATTATTATTTAAATACTAACTATATGGAAAACAGTAGCTGCTGTGTGATGTTACGGAGAAGTGGCAGTGACTGACCTGGATCGGGCAGGTTCTGTGCCGAGTGACTGCGGTCCGTCACGGCTGATGCCTGACTCGCTGTGCTGAGCGGACTGCAGCGCTGCAACACTGTTGCTCTTGGCTCATTTCCATCTGCCACTGGAGCGTCACGCACTTGAGGGGAGAAAGGCGACACAGGGGGCAGAGCAGATGCAGTTTGAACGTTTGCCAGCATTTTAAAGGATTTCTTCCTCAGTTTTGGAGAAAGCTGCTTGGAGGTACCCTTTTTCCCACTTTTACATAGAACTGGGCTTGCATCTGGAGAGGGTGAACAGATGATGTTGTTGGGAGAGGAGATGGGTTCTGGTTCACTGGAGCACCCTACGCTCCTCTTCCAATTGGTTCCATCTTTGCTGTGTTGAAGGGCAGGAGTTGCTGCCGCTGGGCTGCACTGGAAGGACATGGGATCAAAGTCCAATGTATAGATGCCTGCAGCTGGCGGGAAAAGGTCAAGATCGTCTTCTGATTGAAGGGGAGAAACACAAACTTTGTCCAAATCATTATTACTCTCTCTCCCCGGGTGAGTTCTGTGGTCATCTTTAGTTCTTGTGTTGTGTTCGTCTCTGCTGATGCCAGAAACCGCTTCACTAGTTGAACGAGGTCTGAGGGGTCGGTAACTTGGAGGTTCTCCTGGGGTGGAAGATGGAAAGGTTTTAAGTCTTCAAAAAATGGAAATATAACCAGGAAGAGTTTATTTGAAGTCTTAATTGATCTCATTGACATTTACAGAATAATTACCTTCTAAATTTTGCAAAGATGTAAGAGATTCTTCACTTTTGGTGGACCGTAATGTGCCGCCATCTCCTCGTCCACCTGCGAATGTTAGTTTTAATGAATTACAGACCATCTATTAAAAAACCCAACGTACAGGGGAAAAAAACTGAGACATTCAAATAGAACGAGTAGAGGTAGAGAAGCAGGATTTTCCCGCCTTCACAGCAGTAGCGCACTGACCTGGCAGTGCTATGCTCTTTATCTCGTTCGGTTCACTCGGGTGTCGCTTCAGTTTACGTTTGGACACAGAGTGGGACTTTCCCAGGTGGAAAAAGGACAGCCAGTTCCCCACGGGAGACTTCTTAGACCTAACAGCTGGCCGCTTGTTGCTGCTGAAAAGAATAAATCATCTTTAATAAAACGCAAGCAACCGCACACAGAAAGAAAAAAGCCAAAAAATTTCTTCAAGTTTTATTAATTTTCATGTTAATCTTCTTTTTAATGACTAACAATCACTTGATATAGATATATATAGATATATATATTAAAAAAAAGCTTCTTAATACATTATGCAAGATATAATATGATATAAGATTCTCAACAAATAAAAGATGTTTATTGAAAATTTTGTCTGATTTTCTTGCTGTTGATCTTCTAAGGCTTGTACAGGTAAATAAATATGAAGGACAGTTATTGTGTTTTGAGTTAATTATTAACTTGTTATCTTAGCTTTTCAATATTCTAAATCAGGGGTGTCCAAAGTACAGCCCGAGGGCCATCTGTGGCCCTTACAGTGGTTTTGTGTGACCGACGACTGCAGTTTAAGAATGGTACCATTTTGACCCGCAGGCTTAAGAGGTGGATACAGATGTTGACCTTGGTGATACATTATCTATAATTTTTAGGTTTAAGAACAAAATAGATGAAAAAAAAAACTTCACAATGAGAAATATTAAGTACAATACAAACATTTGGCTATAATTAATCCAACTATTCATTTATTTATTTCCATTTTGTGGTACACGGCACCACTGACCCTATTGACTTCTACCAAAAAGTAGACTTGGATTCATGAAACTTAATCAGAGGTTTTCAAAGAAAAAAGTGCAGTTGATTTAATAACTGATAGAGGAATACTGGGCAATGTAAAAGTAATATAAAGTTGTATAATCTATATAAAAGTTGATCAGTTTTATCAGTGTCCCTTCAAAGCTTCTATGAATCTGTTGTAATGATCACCCATCCCTTTATGTGCTTCTTGGTCTTACTCATCCATTGACTCTGTTCTTTCATGCTTTTCATTTGAGTTGCAGATACTGCCTCGGCCCTGCCCGTATTTGGCTTCTTTCTGCAACTTGACTTTCACCAAATGTAGCAAGTTGTGACGATAGAGAGACCTACCTCTCCATCGGGAGTTCGATGACTGTGTGAAATTTGCCAAGGAGAGCTTCGGGTCCCTCCCCGACCTCAATGTAGTCACTGTTGGTGAGGCAGGGGGTGGTAGCTGGCGATCCGAGCTGCGCCTGAGTGCGAGCCTGTGCCTCTTCTAATGATAGCAGCTTGGTGGATGGGGAACATACCATCAGGGACTTTGGTCTTGATAAGGTGTTGTTACCTACAGTAGAGTGCAGTATGTTAGAGAAGGATCCAGTCTGTCGCACTATTTATTCTTAGCCCTTAACAAAATGACTCACCGTTGCTTTCTCTTAAAACGGCACTGAGTTTTGGGCTGAAGAGGGACTCGGTATTGTTGAGAATGAATTCCACCACCACCGACTGGATACGCACCTCCATGAACGCCGCTGTGCCACTGAAACAGGCCGACTCGATCTGCCGGGACCTGAAAGGGAGAACAGCACGACATATTTCATGCAACGAACCGCTGAGACACAACCCAGTTCTCTGTCACACACAAAAAGAAAGACGTCATGCCACGATAGCGCCGGTCACCTGAGGAGGTTCGGTGCCCAGACAATAGCGAGGTTTTTTGTGTGCATGTTAGTGACTGAGCTGAAGGTGGCCAGGTGGGACAGGTGCCTCATGAGGAACTCCAGAGTCCTGTGGATAACCAAAAAAGCAAATGTCATTGTTATAACTTTCAAATATTTCTATCAAAACGGGAAAGAGATTAATTTTTCCAACTTGGGAGGAACATTTCTGTGATGCAAACTAAAATCAGAAAGCATTTTGCAGATTAGTGAAACCATCTGTCACTTGGTGATACAAGCAGGAATTCTGGCACAAATCTCCAAGAAATATATTTTCCGAAAACATGGAAAACAAAAGTTGATATTTTTCAATATGGTCATCTTCAGAAGTCTTTTTTTTGTGTGTGTTTTTTGACATGAATTGCAATTAAATTGTTCAAATTTCCCAATGTGGGAGAAACTGAAAAAGAAAATCACACTAAACTCTATTCTTGTTGGTGTCTAAAAATTATTATTGTTTTAATTGCAAGTCTAAAAGTATATTTTTACCATAAATGAGGGACGTGAATGTCTTGTGAGGTCACGATATGAACACATTATCGTTTGAAATATTTCATGGATTTTGATTGATTACATAAAGAGTGCTGACGAGTGACACTCATGCTGCTGTTGGTTGGTGTATTGTTTTTGTACTACTAGTGCTTAGAGTATTAGTTTAGAGTATTTCTTAGTTCATATCTTAGATCTTATTACTGTTTTTCTTGACATTTTATACTTTTGTTGGATGTAACAGGGACACTGTGTACACAATTTCATTCCGCCACATGTGGCAGAATGACAATGAAGAAACTTTGACTTAGACAACTGCTTTGTCTACTCATCACGTTTGCACAAAGCTGTGTGTATTTGAGACCAAAGCTTTTGCATTTGCATCCGCCATGACAGTCTGTGTTGCATGACTGGCCGAGCCTTTCAAATTTTACAAAAAATAAAAAATACAGTTTTCGCATACAAAACAGTCGCCATCTTTGATTATTCTAGTGGATACAAGTATCTCAGTATCTAGATTGACAGCAAATGCACATGAAACCTATGTAACTGTCCTGCTCTCAAAGATAAAATCCTGCTTTTTAAAAAAAATTTACGTAATAAATCTTTCACACACACCACAAAATTTTTTACGTAATAAATCTTTCACACACACCACAATACAACTTATAGTTAAAATAAAGCGCTTCCAATCCTGGATTATGGTGATGTGGATTACACGTCTGCCTCAAAAACTCGTCTTCACAAACTGGATGTCATTTTTCACGCTGCTGTCCGGTTTGTAACTGGACCTTCTTTTAATGCACGCCTCTACAATCTGTACTCCCTGATAAAATGGACATCTCTTCATTCTTGCAGACAAATTCACCGGTTTCTGTTAATTTACAAAATTCTCGTAGGGAAACCCTGTTTCATCTACAGTCACTTCCTATTATTCACTCTGCAAATGGCAGTTTGCGTTCTAGTAACCTCATCAATCTCCTCAAACCTAAATCACGTCCCTCCTTCGGTCGCTCCTTATCTCAGCTCTTTGCTGCAGATTGCTGGAATCATCTGCAACAGACCTTAAAGCTTGGCTCATTCATTTCGCTCTCCTCTTTCAAAAATTCAGTACAATCATTGGTCCATGACGACTGCACTTGCTTTGAGTTTTACATTTCTTGTTACTGATTTACTGTTCCCAATGCACTTCTTCATTTAAAACTTGTATAATGTGTTTTAAACATTTTGATTTTTGCTGTACGTTTTGTTTTTATACTTTTATCACTGTAGTTTTATGTCTACCTGTGACCTACCCAGTAAAATAAAATGAAAAAAATATTATTATTATTATTATTATCCATCCATCCATCTTCTACTACTTATGGTCCAAGAGAGAAATTCAGATGTTCCTCTCCCCCAGCAACATTTTCCAGCTCATTCTGGGGGATCCTGAGGCATTCCCAGGCCAAAGAAGATGCACCATCCCTCCAGCAACTTCTGGGTCTTCCCGGGGCCTCCTACCAGTGGGAGGTGCTTGGTAAACCTCTAAAAGGACTGACTCCTTTCAATGTGGCAGAGTAGCGGCTCTACTCTGAGCTCACCCCGGATGATGGAGCTCCTCACCCTACCTCTAAGGCTAATCTTGGCCACCCTGCAATGGAAGCCCATTTTGGCCGCTTGTATCTGGGATCTCCTTCTTTCTGTCATGATCCAAACATCATGATCATAGATGAGGGTTGGAACATAGACAGACCAGTAAATAAAGAGTTTTGCCTTTCAACTCAGCTCTCTCTTCACCACAATAGACCAAAGCATTGACCTCATTACTGACGACGAGTCCTCAATCTGTCGATTCATCTCCCGCTCCATGCTACCATCACTCGTGAACAAGATGCCCAGATACTTGAACTCCTCCACCTGAGAAAAACTGTCTCTCGCAACCCAGAAGGGGCATTCTATACATTTCTATTTATTTATTATTATTATTGTTGTTGTTGTTGTTGTTGTTGTTGTTGTTGTTGTTGTTGTTGTCATCGTCGTCGTCGTCATTGTTGTTGTCGTCGTTGTTTAAACATCTGTTAAGTTCCTGGCAAAAACCAATGCAGACATGTTCCTGTTTTTAGTTTTCTACATCGCCTTACAATCTAGCACTTTATTCACTACTTTTCCTTTTAATTACAATTTTATTTTCATTTGCTAAAAAATATTTAAAATTGTATGCATCCTTTATGATTGTCTGTTGTTGTTGTTATCACTCTTCATTAAAATTCAGGTCTCTCTTGTAAATGAGTCCCCGAGGCTCAATGGGATTAACTTGTATAAGTAAAGGTTGAATGAATATAGCATTGTTGTTGTTGTTGTTGTTGTTGTTGTTGTTGTTGTTATTATTATTGTTATTGTTGTTGTTATTATTGTTATTGTTTTTATTAGTTATTAAACAGGTTATAGGTATAATTCATGCCAAATTTGGTGCTTGTATTACCATGTGCCACTTCAGTACCAGGACATTGTAGTTCCAGTTTTAGTCAGCAGGGGGCAGCAGTGAGCTGAACGCCTGACCTGTAATGCGGAGGGGGCAGCTGCTGAATCACATTGTGGATTTTGTGCAGCTTCTCCTCTTCTGTGGCTGCAGACACGGCCTCCTGCGAGGAAACAGAGGACAAAGCACCACGTGGATGATAATCACAGCAGAGGGAGTCGTCTGATTATTCCCACCCTCTTCTTCTCTTTTATAACCACAGCAGGTTTCAGCTCACTTAATCTGCAGTTTGGTTTGAGCCTGTCCATCCCCTGCAGTTCCTAGAAAGCTCAACATAACGCAATGACCTCATTTTTGAGCTGCCCTTTAAAAAGAGATATTTTCAAATAGTTAATTCTGTTCTTTTATCACTGAGTGACCGATACTTTCCCTGCAGCTGCTTCTCTCGTTACATGACTCCAACACTGTGCCAGCTCCCAGAGCTATTTTTATCCCATCAGGCATAAATGTGAGTTTCAGTTCCACCGCCTGGATGCTTACTGAGAATCGATCGTAGAGCTGGTAGGTGAGCAGAGGGTTGGGCAGCTCTCTGAAGTACAGCTTGCACAGCGAGCCCACCGAGTGGATATCCTGCCTGAAGACGTCTCTGCTCAGATCTGGAATCTGCTCGGAGTCGAACTCATGTCTACATGCAGGCAGAGGGAGAGACGATGGAGACACAGAGCAGCATCAGCACCAGGCTTCCTTCAGAACAAAAATCCTGTTTTTGTGACTTAATTTCCTTCAGTAGTGAATCAATTTAAGTATGAAATCAAGCCAGTCGTGCATTTCATCTGGGAGATAAATCATCACCAGCTGCTGCATTGTGTATTATGTATGCATGTTATTTGACTGGCTGTCAAAAACATGCACGCCCCCATCAGATGGGAGTTTTACCAAAATCCTTCTGGCAAGCATGAAATAGATCAGAGGGTAATAATGAACACTTAAATGTACCGACACAGTATGGAACAAATTGTACTTTATAGATTTTTTTAATCAGCTCAAAAATACAACTACCCTCCCCCCCCAAAAAACAAAAACCTTCAATCACTGGAGAGCTGCAGTTGTTGGTAGTGGGTCCTACTTGTTGTTGGAACGCTTATGGAACATTCACACTATTTTGATCCATTTTTCTTCCGTATGTTTTTCGGCATCTTTCTCGTTCAACAGTTTTTGTGCTATTTCAACAAATCATAAAACGAAACGTTCAGCTCATTCAGGAGAAAGGTGCTATTACTTGTTATATGGGTGCAACTTTAGCTTTTTGAAATATTTAGCCTTTTCTGTCATTTTTTTTCCTCATAGGTAATGAACTGAGCTCATTTTACATCCTTCAAATCTTTAGATCTATTTACAAGCTTTTACTGCTCCTTTCACATTTTGTTTTGATTCAGATTATTTCAGCTTCCTTGTGCAAATTAACTTTTTTCAGCAACTTTCAGCTGTTTTTTTTTTTCCTGTTTTGTGCTTCTTCTAACTTATTTCAGCGTGTTATGCTCCTTTATAGCTTATTTCTGCAATTTTCAGCTTTTTCTGCTACTACTTAGATGTTTTATGCTAATTTTAGCTTTTTCAGCTAATTCCACATTTTTGCACTCATTTCAAGTTTTTTCAGCCTAATTCAAAAAAAATGTGCTCTCTCTACTTTTTTTCTGGTAATTTAAGCATCTTCCTGTTTTATTAGTTACATTTCATCTGTTTATTTTTGCTCATTTCTGGAATTTTTTTAGGTAATTTCCATGTTTTTGTGCTCATTTCTGCTTCTTTCAGCCTTAATGGGTAAACGTATTAGGCCTATTTCTCCTTTCTTCTGTTAATTTAAGCTTGTTCTACCTTTTCAGCTACCTTTTTTTATTTGAGCTTTTTTTAAGCTAATTTCAGCTGTTTTCCGATTAATTCAAGTTATTTGTGGTAACTTCTGATACTTTCAGCCTAATTAAGTTCTTTCTACTAATTTCAGCTTGTTATGCTCCTTTCAGCTTATTTCTGCTAGTTTCAGTCATTTAAGCTACTATTTAGCTGTTTTGTGCTATTTTCAGCTTTTACAGCTAATTCCACATTTTTTAGCTCTTTACAAATTGTTCCACTTCCGTCTGGTAGTTTAAGCTTCTTTCTGCCTTTACAGCTACTTTTAAGCAAATTTGTTTGCTAATTTCCGCTTCTTTTAACTGATTTCCTATTTTTTGTGCTCATTTATGCTCATTTAAACCTAATTTGGCAAATATGGGCTCTTTCTGCTTTCTTCTGCTAATTTAGACTTATTCTTCCTTTTCAACTAAAATGCAGCATGTTTTTTTTAGCCAATTTCAGCTGCTTCTCAGCAAGTTCTTCAGCAAAAAAGCATTCGAACTGCATTATTGCAAGAAATGGATGTTTTCTTGTTTTATTGATATCCTTTTTTTTAATTCACCATTTTCTAACACGCCAGTTCTGCTATGAACTCATACAGCTGCCTCTTGACTTTACTCAGGCTGTATAAAATATGAATTTAATAGTTACAAACAAGACTTTCAGTTCAAATAGAGGCTTTGGTCTTCGATAGTATCAAGCATGAAAGAAGAAAACAAACCTCAGTTTCTGAATGTTGGAAGAAATCCCCGACAGTCTGTAGATTCCATCCACGACTCCGTTCTTCTCGATGAACTCGGTGCAGCTTTTAACCACCTGTGGGACTGAAAGATAAACCAAAACAAAGAAGTTTGTTCATTTTGTGTCATTCCAACAGAAAAAAGAAAGAAATATAAGAATATGAGTGTAGCTTGTGATTGTAAGTTTTGAGGTGTTAAATTCCCTCTAAATTTGTCCATTTGTCCATTTGAATTAGTCAAAATGATCATCTGTGAGATAAAGTTTTTTATTTTTATTTTGTCTATAGAACGTCAAACTATTCAGCAGGCAAGCTTTGTGCAAACGTCACTTGTGGAACTAACATAAGAAGTCTGAGGCAGAACGACAGACTAGTTTTCAGCTGCATGCACACTTTTTAGAAGCAAAAGAAACCCTAAGAAATACATGTAAACTAATGGTCTACAGTTTGATTTATACTTTATTAAGAATGTTGCAGGTTTTCACAGGTGCAGATGACAGTAGCAGCTAGCTGTAACACTCCTGATGCAGCCTGGGGCACTTCTAGCAGGAATTTCATCAAATTTTTCTGTAATGAAGCAAAACTGAAAGCCATGAATTATTTAAAATTCACATCTTTTAACATGGTAGTAACCCTCTATGGTCATTCCTCACCCAGACTAGCCATCAGCTCATCAGTATGGGCAGAATTAAAGTTTATTTTTCAAACTCGGGTCATTTAAAGACACCTACAACAGGTAGGATGTTATTTGTTCATAACTTTTCCACAGAACCCCACCTCAAACTTCTGAGCTACTGCAGCTCCACTGCACAGCTTTATTTTAGCAGACAAAAGCTGCAGAACACGCTCCATTTTTAATATATAGAAACAGGCACAGAGGTTTATTTTGACTTAACCTTGAACTACACAGATTATAATCTGCAAAGACTTCCTACTGCACCAAATGCGATTCACCCCTTCTGTTAAAGCACAGAGCTTCTAGAATATAAGTGAACTTAAAATAAGTCAAGAAGATTTATGCACCAAAAATAAGAGTTTAGTCACAAATCTGCTAAGTAAATGTGCACGTTCATGAGTGGAATATCAAAAACTGCTACAATAAACAACATAAATAAATAAGGTGACCCCTGTTGATCACTATTTGAAGAAAATAAACAAATGTGTCAGTAAAATGAGTCAGAATGAGCTGCAAAAATATGAACGTGTTAATTTTTGTATAAAAGTGAGTCCATAAAGACGCCTTCTAGTGACCTTGGTAACTTAAACTACCATCAGTCTTCCTGATCAAAACAAAGTTTTCTTCAGAAATAATCATGGCTGCTGCTGCACAGGGAAATCCCTTCGTATAGCGTTTGGTGCCATTGTGAACCTTGGGGATTCCCTTTTTTCTTTTTATTTTAATATAGCTGAAATTCCCAATGACATCATTCCAGACCTATAAAAACTGAGATTTTTTTTTTGTTCTCATAAACAAATGTAGTTTGATGTTGGGTGATAAAATCATCAAATTTAAACAAACCATGAATCATTTTAAAGCTTTTGGATAAAGAGTTTGATCAGTCAGCAGATTAAATGAAGGGAGGAAAATAAAGGAAACCATATTTTTGTGTAAACGTTTTACCCTCGTGTCCCGAGTTGTGAAGATGTTCCCCAAGGTCGCAGCCGAACACTCGCTCTCGGAGGATGCCGCGCTGCCGCAGCTTCTGTGGCGGAGGCCGAGACTTCATAAAAGACCTCAGGAATGTTACCAGCTTCCCGTGCTTCTTACACACTGACACAGATGACACACACATACAAACAACAGCCTCTTTAAAACCAATCCAACTCAAACTCTGGGAACAAATCCAGTCTACATCGTCAGGCACGTATCCACACTAAAGAGTACCTGGCTTCGGCACGGAGTTCTGAACGCTCGGAGGAATCTTATCGTTTATGAGCTCAACGCAGTCGCACGGGAAGAAGCCAACCTGCAACAAGAAAAGAGGAGAAGGAAATTTAAAAAACAACATTCCTCAAAGGAATGCATTTTGTCAACTGTCTTTCATTACGGATTGTAGAATATCTGCTACTACCAAACCAAATTTGAGCTAAATATCTGTAAATATGACTGAGTTACAGCCATTCTTTAGCGTCAAAGGTTGAATAAATAATTTAAGTTTTATGTTAAACTGCATTTAAATAAGTGCCCTGGCCAAAACTGGCAACAAGACAGATAAAAAGTTTCATGAAACAAACTGTAACAATGATAAAACTTAACATTATAAAGAAATATAATTTCTTCTTTTTAGCTGATAAAGTTAAAATTAGCATCAAAAGAGCTAATAGTTGCTAAAAGATCAGAAAAAAGTGAAACTAGCAGAAAAAAGATGAAAGCACAACAAGCTGAGATTAGCATAAAAAAGTTAATTAGGCTTAAATAAGCATAAACTAATATGAAAAACATGAATATATATCTGAAAATGGCTGAAATTAGCAAAACAAATGTTGAAAAGTAGCTGAAAAGTTAGAACAAGCTTAAATTAGCAGAAGAAAGCAGAAAGGATACAATTGTCCAAGTAGGCTGAAAGAAACATAAATTAGCACAAAGTAATGGAAAGTATCTAAAAAAAGCTGGAATTAGCAAAAAAAAAAAGGCTGAAAAGTAGCTAAAAATGCAGAAAGAAGCTTAAGTTATCAGAAGGAAGTGGAAATAACACATTTTAGCTGAACTAGGCTGAAAAAAGTTTAAATGAGTGCAAAAAATGTGGAATTAGCTAAAAAAGCTAAAAGTAGCATCAAAACAGCTAAATAGTAGCTGAAATAGCAGAAAAGGGTTAAACTTGTAGAAATAATCATAAAGGAGTATAACGAGCTGAAGTTAGCAGAAAGAAGCTGAAAGTAGCACAAAAATGTTGTAGTTGCAAGAAAAATCTAAAAGGAGCACAAAACTACTGAGATTAGCTGAAAGTAGCTGAAAAATGTTTACGTTTGCACAAGGAAGCTAAAAGAAGCTGAATCAGAATAAAATGTGAAAGGAGCAGTAAAAGGTTGTAAACAGATCTAAACATTTGAAGTATGTCAAATGAGCTCAATTCATTTTCTATGAGGAAAAAAATGGCAGAAAAGGCTAAATATTTCAAAAAGCTAAAGTTACACCAACACCAAAAGTCAAAGCAGGATTGTCCTGAAAGAGCTGAACGTTTTGATGTATGCACCAAAGTTCATGCTCAATAATCCAGGTATAAAATCCAATTCCTTCTTGACGTTTAAATATTGGGTCTAGGTTTGTGTTTTATACATTTCCCCAACTCGGTAAAACAGATATGGCTTAACATAAAAGCAACAAACAATCCTTTCTGCAAATTTCAATAAAATCATTTCAGTTGTTCATGAGAATTTTGCTAACAAGCTGACAAATAAGCATTAACGCCTAATAAATACATATATAATATAACGCTAATAAATATAACGCTAATAAATATAGCAATAATAAATATAGCAATAATAAATACTTGACTTTAAATATAAGCACTACCAGCTTCTTTGCTCCACAGTATGTAATGTGCACAGTGGCAGCTTTACCTGAAAGCCGTGTTTTCCTCTCCACCAGCCAGTGTCCTCTTTAGGAGGCATGTCGATGACGGACACGATGTCTCCAACCTGAACCAGGAAGATAAAACCAGCGTTTGATCACACAACAAAAAGTAACGTAAAATGAGAATCAGCGGGAAAGGGAGGCATCGAGTGATAAATATCTTCGACTGAAGTTACCTCGAAGGTCAGCTCGTCCGAGGCCTGAGCTGTGTATCGTTTGGTGACGTGGGCGGCGGCGATGGCGGGGATATTGATCGAAGCTTCTTCAGACACCAGCAGATGGTTCCCCTTGTTGTCGCTCTATAAATAAATAAAATACAACACACACGTGGTATCTAAAAGACACAGTTGGGCTGCTTTTCATTGTGACTCCAGCGAGTCACAGAAAGACAGTAAAACATCAAATGTCTTCTTTTCTTCATTATTACTTGAGTTGTGACATTTATCCACTTCATACTGTGTAAAAGTTGGAACATTAAAGGATTCGGTGTATAAAAGTGAAAAAGTCCCTCTACAACATTCATTAAGAGAATTATTAGAAAGTGGTACCTCCATCCATGTTAACACTGGACCGCAGTTGATTTTGTTGTCTGCGATGACAGAAAAGCGGGACAGGTAGTTTGCCAACATTGTGGTGACCGACTGAAAAGAGCAAAATAAATGATTAATTACCAATGTACCGTATACAGTCGGTGTTACGGGTTAGATACGAAGCAGCTGAGGCTCTGCGGTACCTCAACAGTCTCCTTTAACGCGTCGTATCGTGGAAGCTCAGTCAGTTGGGAGTAACGACGGTCGTAGATGCACAAGTGTAGGTGTTTGTCCAGCACCCGGAAGTCCTCGTAAGATCGCTTCACCAACCAGTTTCGCCCCTGATGTTAGATATTAGAAGAAAAACTGGGTTCTCGTTAAGTTTCCTTCATTCTGTTTGTGAAGAAAATGCATACATTAAGAAATACATATTTTTATACATGTCTTTAAATTAATCTAGGAGCAGCTTGAGACTTGGAGAGGTGGAGGTATGCACTTGAAAGAAGAGGAATGAAAGTCAGTCGTAGTAAGACAAAGTACACGTGTGAATGAGAGGGAGGCCGGTGGAACAGTGAGGATACAAGGAGCAGAGGTCACAAAGGTGCAGGACTTCAATAGGGGTGTAACAATACATTGATTTTAATCAGTAAATCAATTAAATGATTCAATTATATTGTGGCAAAACTAGAACATCGATTCATATCGTCAGCTTTAAAATGCACTTTTATTTTGAAATTCCCAAGGCACGTCTGTGTCACCATTTCCGTGCACGGATGCGCTCTGCGGCCGCCACAGCAACATGGCGGATGAGGCAGAAAACACAGATAATGAAATTCACTCTCGTGCTGGATTTAACTCAACACTGTGGAAATATTTTAGATTCCAACAGAAGGACGGCTCAACACACAAAACTCACGCCGTATGCAACAGGTGCCAGTGTGAGTTAAAATACTCGAGAACCACAACAAATTTGTCCGTTCACTTGAAGAAGAAACATGACATTGATAGCCATGTTATGTAAACTCAATATCTATTTTTGTTTCTTTGTAAATGAAAGGTCATCAGGGCACATTAACTGGTTTAAAAATGCACTTAAACATGACAAATGTGAGACTATACTGAACAGGTCTTTTTTTATCATTAATTAAGAAAAAATGTTTTTTATTTAAATACCTGGTGCCTGAATAACAGAAATAAAATGGTTAAATCATATTTGAATTGTTTTTGTAAATTTATTTATATGTAAAGGAGATGGGCATTTAATATTGAGTGCAGACTTGTGAATCGAATAGAATCAAAATCGTATCGTGACAGACTTTGTGATATCAAGAAAAATCGTATCGCCATACAAACAAATCAATATATCGTATCGTGATAAAGCTGGTGATTTACACCCGCAGAGTTCAAGTACTTGTGGGCCACTATCCAGGAAAATGGAGAATGTGGTTAAGAGGTGAAAAAGTGAGTCCTGGCAGGATGGAGTGGATGGAGAAAAATTTCAGGAGTGATTTGTAACAAAAGTGTTTCAAAGGTCAAAGGAAAAGTTTACCAGACAGTGGAAAGACCAGTTATGTTGTATGTTCTGGAGACAGACACATGGACAAAAAGACAGGAGAAAGAACTGGAAGTGGCAGAAATGAAGATGTTGAGGTTCTTTTTAGGAGTGACAAGGATGGATAAGAATGAGATCATCAGAGGTACAGCACAGGTTGAACAACTGGGAGATAAATTTAGAGAGGCCAGACTGAGATAGTTTGGACATGTCCAGAGGAGGGACAGTGGGTATACTGGTAGAAGGATGTTAGAAATGCAGCTGCCAGGAAAAAGACAAAGAGGAGATATATGGATGCAGTTAGAGAGGACATGGAGGTAGTGGGAGTGAGGACAGAGTGAGATGGATGAGGATGACTTGCTGTGGCGACCACTGAAGACAGAACAGCTAAAAAAAGAAGAATCTACAAACGGCTGAATAAAATGATCATTAAAATGGTTATGACATCAAGTGAATGTGCACAGCGTTACCTGGCAGGTGATCTGGACCAGAAAAACAAGTTCTTTAGAGTCCAGTGCAGACTTTGGTCCTTCATATTGCCCCTCTGCCAAAGCCAACTGTGCAGGACAAAAACAAGAAACTGTCTGATACTGAAAAAATAAATGGTTCTAAATCCATCCATCCATTTTCTTTACCCGCTTATTCCATTTTGGGTCACGGGGGTCGCTGGTGCCAATGTCCAGCAATCACTGTGCGAGGGGCGGGGGACACCCTGGATGGGTCGCAAGTCCATCACAGGGCCACATAGAGACAAACGAGACAAACAAACATTCACTCTCTCACTCACACCTAGGGACAATTTTTAGAGTTACCAATCAGCCTAACATGCATGTTTTTGGTATGTAGGAGGAAAACGGAGCACCCGGAGAAAACCCACGCATGAACGGAGAGAACATGCAAACTCCACCCAGAAAGGACCCTGGACAGGGGTTTGAACCAAGGACCTGCTCGCTGAGAGGCAGCAGCTCTACCAGTTGCGCCACCGTGCTGCCCTGGTTTCTAAATATTGGATGAATATACTACTACAAGAACATTCATATACGAGTTTTATTTTTCACAAAATAGAATAAAAAAGACTTCAACATGGAGAAAATGGAACAGCTATAAAATAATTTCCTAAAAAGACAGACGATGAGTCTGTGTGTATATTTTATGAGCAGCTCATTTCTGATCCATATTCCATATGAATCCTGCAGGACTCGATGTATAATGGATCGCGTCGGAGCCAGTGGGAGCTCAGATTCTGCTTGTTGTGTTGCAGGAGTTTGGAGGATTTCTTTTGATTGACGTTAACGCAAGAACTGACTTCAAAGGCCTCGGAGCCGAGGGAAGTTCTGGGTATTTATAACCGTTAGTAACTCATCCAGATACACTCTTACACAACACGCAGCGACCTACTTACAGCAAAGCACACTGACAAAAACCACAGACTGAGAAATTTGTTCTTAGATGGGTTCACATGTTACCAGTCCAAACCAAAAACTAGGCAATGAAAAAGGTTGGAGTGATATGTGAAGGATCATAAAACAGCAGGTTCTCTGCTGTCCATCACCTTCTTTCTGATGCTCAAACCTCCTTTAGAACAAACAAAACGCCAGCATCATGCTTATCTGCAGCCAGCACAAAGCCTGCTCATGTTACCTCCCACTAGGACATCTCAGACATCCATCTGCAGATGAAGTCAGGGGTCTCTCTTTGTGCGCAGGACCACAGGAAGCTCCTCCAACAGGCCAAATCTGAGCTGAGGGTTGAAGAGTTTAGACGCTGCTCCGCTCTCGCCTCATCTGTCTCCTCGCAGAAGCAGCTGATTTTTGCAGAGCTTTTGGACAATCGCACGCTGATGCTCTAACTGAGCCAGAAGGATGCTCCCCTATGTGCGTCTGGATGCCTCCCTCTTTCAAGCTCTTCTCCCCCTCCTCCCTCCCTCCATCCTGTACTCCATCACCCTCCCCCCCTTCTTCTCCTTTCTCCGGTGACAAAAGAGGGGGGTTTTGCCGGTTAATGGGCTTAGCCGGCACACACCGGCGGATGAGCTCATCCATCAGAATACAGAGGAGTAAAATTGACAGATTACACTCCATCATTTCTAAACGGCTTCTACACAGCCATCCACCCCCCCACCCCCCCACCCCCAAGGTGAGACGAGCTAATCTGGAGAGGAATCAGTCAGACAGAGGCTGTCTGCTGCCGTCCTCGTGTTCATCCTGCAGGCAGGACACACGAGACCCCACCTCTGCCTTCTGTCAGTCTGTGCATGCAGATAGGTTCGACAAGAGCAATGAGAACAAAGACTCAGCTCCAAGATTAAGTCAAAGATGCTCAGAGTGCAGCTTCATACTACAACCCCACCCCGACCCTTTCAGCTCAGTGCAGCCTTAAACCTTTTCTTCCCATCATATTGCCAAAGAAGCCACAGACTGAAATGGACTCGGAGTGGAAACCATCGAGGGATTAAAGCGCTGCAGCTGAGCTCATTAATGCAATATGTAAGGATTCAGACAAACAATGAGCATTGGTTAGGCTGCGCTGGAATAAACCAGTAGCTTTTAGTCATGCAGTTGACTGACACACTCTGCTGGGAAGCAAACAGAACTGCATCATGGGTAACGTTGTAGCTGATGTCCACTTCCTCTCAACAGAACCTCACAGCTTCTCCTTCAAGCTGCTCTTTGTTGAACCCGAAACACTAAATGAGCAAATCATTTGTCATAAAATAGTGTTTTGTTTTGTTGTTCGTGGTCATTTTCATACCACTATTATAGTAAAAATCTAATAATCGTGTGCTTTTAAACTTTAATCTTGCAAAGTAAAATGTAAATAAACATTGTTTATATTTGCATGAAAAAGTAGCAATGAACAAAAGCCACATTGAGCACATCCAGAAACGTATGCAGAATAAATGTTGAGAGTATCAACCCTAATGTTGTCGGTTTGTTTTATCAAAAGTTTTAAACCATTTTCGGAAAAAAGAAAATGAAGTTGATAATGAAAACATACAAGCGAGTAGAAAAGATGCTTTACTGCATGTAAAGGATTCATCAGTTTCACATCTTTTTTAAAACAAACAATCCTCCACGCTTTTATTGCTCTATGCAAAGTTCTGCTTTTTTACAACTGTCACAACTGTGGTTGTGTATCTTGTGTATGAAAATCTAATTATGTAAATTAATGTCCAGGTAGCCCGCTGTGATTGGAGGAAATAATCGAGGAGCTGAATGGGGATTGGCTGCCTGACGAGAGGCGCTGCAGAAGTGATGACGTCAGTTTCCATTCATTCAGTGCATCCCAACCAGCCACAGCTGACCCGCGGTGCCACATCAGTATTAGTCCGTTTGTAAATAGTTTTGTGAGGAGTTTGTTGGAGTGAGCTGCCATTTATTTTAAGACCTGTTTTTGATAGTAAAGGCTGGTAAGAGAACTGTGTTCTCCATCCATTATCTTTTACCCGCTTCTTCCTTTCCGGATCACTGGTGCCCATATCTACCAGTCACTGTGTGAGAGGCTGGGGACACTCTGGACAGGTCTCCAGTCCATCACAGGGACACATGGAGACAAACGTGACAAACAACCATTCACTCTCTCACTCACACCTAGGGACAATTTAGTTAACAATCAGCCTAACATTCATGTTTTGGGTCTGTGGAAGGAAACTGGAGTACCCGGAGAAAACCCACGCATGCACAGAGAGAACATGCAAACTCCACCGAGAAAGGTCCCGGGCCGGGATTTGATCTGGCTACCGTGCCACCCCGGAACTGTTTTTTGTTACACTTTTTTTTTTTTTTTACATAGATAAGAGAAATACTGTAATGGTGAGGTAGTATGTTTGGTTTATTTTGGCCTGGGCTCATCCTGAAGCTGGTAAGACTGTAAATAGTCCATCACTGTAAATAAATCACTCTTTTTATATAACGTTACAATCCCGACCCAGAAGCTGTTGAGTTTAGCAGAAGTTGGAATCACCACAGGCTACTCCTAGACGGGACGTAACAACAACATATAATCATTTTTAGGGAAAATTCTAGTTCTAGCTCTAAAACAAATGGATGGGGTGGAAAAAAGATTGCTACCTTGCACTCGGTGTACTGAAAGCTGAAGCTTTGGCCAGCAGAGAACAATGGCTTTGCCACAAAATGAAGACAAGAATGTGAATATGGCGTTTTACAGTTACTAATGTGCCTGCATAAAATCAAATACAGTCATAGCTTCTTCCTGTATTCAGCTCTAGTCTTTTGGTTTACACCAGCTTTGCTTGTTGACTTTTTATACAAACATATTTATGAAGGAGTTTTATTGGTATTTTATGCAGTGACAGCAAAATGTCCTCAACGTGCACAGTTGCTGTGTGCTGGACTGACTGCAGAGCACAGCTGAAACATCTGAAGATATGAACACTGTGTGGAGGAAGTGTAGTTCAACAAACTGGAAGGAGGCATGAATATATCCAAACCACAATGCATGGCAAAATACTGACTGAGCATTTGCATTAGTGCAATAAAATGGTCAGTTGAGCTATGTACAAAAAAACAAACAAAATTAAACTGTTTAAGACTAGCATATTAACAGAGATGCTGCCATGCAACAGACCTCCTCTGGTGCCCTCCAAATAGCCAGTGCAATACAATACAGTGCTGTATTTTTTACTACTAAAGGCCAACTTCTAAGTCATTTGACTTGAAGCGTGTAAATATGAGTTGTGATTAAAGCCAAGTTCTTACATCAGTTTTGTGTTTTTACTTTAAGACTTATCTTGATCAGCTGTCCAACAGTTCTGGCTGTGTCAGGTCAAGACAACTATCGACTGCTCTGCCACAGTGCAGGTTAAGAGAGGGACGTTTCTAGAGCACATCACCAAAATGGCTGCTGGACACCAGCCAAAGACACGATTCTGAAGCATCATAACTCTCTGCAAAGTATTTTTAAAACTCACCTGAACGTTGCCAAAATCTACCGTCTCGTAGTGGAAATGGGCACACTCTGCCAGTCTGGGGAAGTGACCTCTGGGGAACGTTAACCTAGAACACACAGAACAGCAACTCTTCATCTCAGCATCGGCATGTGTTGAATGTTGATGAGAGGAGTGATGTGAAAGAGAGAAAAGGAAGAAAAGGGAAAGGTTTGGCTGCAGTGTTTGAGATTCACCAGGCCTGACTCGTCTGAGTGTTTGTGAGCGCCTCGTTTCATGGCCTGAATGAGAGCCCCGCTTTACACGGTTCCTATCCAGGTCAGTGAAAGATCTCAGAAAAGCAGCAACGACGTCACCGGGAGCACCTACTTCTTCATGTTCTTGACCTTCATGCTCGCTGTGCTGACGCAGGAGCGCAGGAGGGGCTCGGCTGGATAATCTGTGACATCATCACTCCTCACCTGCCGAACAGGAACATCAGCAAACATCAGCCAATGGCAGGGCAACTGATCATGATTGCATGAAACTGATGGAGTGTTTTGTGTACTAATCTTGCCTTAATGCAGACATGTGACATCTAATACCAGGTGTAGATGTCTTTAAAACGTTTATTTTTGGCTAAATTAACCCAGATTTTAGCCTTGGTGCCTTTTCAATCCCAAAAATTGCTCATGTAGACACACCTGCATGGATAGGCTAACGTCTATGTAAGAGCATCACAAAAGAGCTTAAATTTAAACTTGTGTGATCCTGTAGTTGTAAAGGGACGTTCAAAGATTACATCCTGAAAGTTTCATTAAAACGTAACAGACGGACACATTCACACACTGGCAGAAAACATTATCCTCCACCTTTACCTTTAGGTAGCAGGTAATCATTAGAATTTATAGAAACAAAATTGTACGATGTCCCCCGTCGCTGAGGGGTTTGATTAATGAGCATTTGTAGTTTTAAAGATGAGTGTTTCTCTGGACTGAAATTGAGCAGGGAATGCAAGTAAACCTTAATGTTTTTGGTACAAGATATTCAAGTGGGTAGGAGTTGCATTATGTAGTAAAAGCTAAATAAAGTTAAGTCTGGTCCTCTGGACATTAAAAAAAACAAAGCAAAAAAAAAAGTAGAAACGTTTCATCTTTCATCCGAAAGACTTCTTCAGTCTGAGGTGCTGTATTCAGCTCAGTCTTATAAATAGCACCTTCTCAGAGTGGATCAACCAGTTTGCTGCTGACAACCAAAACCAGCTGCTCACATGATCAAGAAGGACCATCAGCCTAACAATGGATCATTAGCACACTGATGGCTGGGGTCCTTCTTGACCATGTGAGCAGTTGGTTTTTGTTGTCAGCAGCAAACTGGTTGATCCACTCTGAGAAGGTGCTATTTATAAGACTGAGCTGAATACAGCACCTCAGACTGAAGAAGTCTTTCGGATGAAAGACGAAACGTTTCTAATTATTTTGTTTTATTTTGCTTTGTTTTTTTTCTTTTTTTGTATGTCCAGAGGACCAGACTTAACTTTTTTAGATTTTTCTACCTGGATTATTGAGCATGCATTAGGATATGTAGTAAAAGGTTGTTTTTTTGTTTGATGAGGTGCAAAGTGATAGATCCAAGTGAGTGGAAGGAGCAAATATAGCCACCACCAAGCACAATGACGGAGCCTCAGGGAGGCCAATGGTGGCCCTGACCACCATAGATCAATCTTTGGCCACCCCAATCATTTAAGGAAACTATATATTTTAGCAACATAAAAACAAGAAAGCATAGTTTCCTCAAATTATAGGGGTGGCCTGTTTACATATTTACATACCTGCACAGTATATATATATATATATATATATATATATATATATATATATTGCCACTACTAATAAGATTACTTATTTTTAAGTCAATCACTGGAGGGGTAAACAAAATGTTAGCTCTGCCACTTTAAAAACAATGGAGTCACAGTTGTAGTCTTTGCTCCACTGTTCTCTGTGACTGAGGGTAAAAACATTACTGAAGTGTGTGCAAGCTGATATTATCAAACCACACCACCTCCATCTTAGAGGATACACCCTGTAATGCAGCTTTAACAGCTCAAATTGACATGTGACCTTATGTCGGGGTAACATCATGAATGTGAATCACCTAAACAACCAGAGAAGCTTCATGAAAGAAGGACGACATGTTTGTTTGGGGATGCATTTTCTTGCAGTAGTGATGACAGTGTTCTCTGTGTGTGTATGTGTGTGTGTGTGTGTGTGTGTGTGTGTGTGTGTGTGTGTGTGTGTGTGTGTGT